GCCACAGCGGCAGCCGCGGGCAACAGCCTCGGGAGTCGGAGCTAGAACGGCCGGGGGCGGCGGCGGCGGCTGTGAGGGTGAGTCCGGGCGGGAGCGAGCGCGGCGGGGACAGGCGTGGCTGGGCGGTCGGGTGCGTGGTGCGTGGGTCCGGCTTTCGGTGACTAGACGGTCCGCGGGGAACATCCCGTCCCCGGGGCCTCCCCAGACCCCTTCCCCCTCGCGCTTCAGCAGCCGTCTCTCCCCCGGCTACGTGTCGAGCCCGCGACCTGCGCGGACACCCCTTCCTCAGGTATTTGCTGGGCCGCGCCGGTGCCCCCCGCCTCGGGCGTCCTCCCTCGCGCGGGCGTCCCTCGTGCTCCCCCAACGTCCCCTCCATGCCGCAGGTCTCTGCTTACACCGCTGGCGCCCTAGTTCTCTTTTTCCAGGCTCCTCGGCGTGCCGGGTTCCCTGCGCCCCCTCCCGCGAGCCTCCTGCCCCCGTTTCTCGCCCTTTCTACCCCTCCCCCTCTTCCCCATCCCCCCCTTCTGCCTCTTCCCTCCCGGCCCTTCTTCCCTTCTACCCCCTTCCGTTCTCAGTTCCCCATCCTTCTCCCTCCCAGCCCCTTCCCTCTCCCAGCCGCATCCTGGAACTAAGTCTTTGCAAAAGTACAGGATAAATGTCACGGTGGAAAGTGCCCGGCTTGATCTTTTGCTGTTTTCCCTAATTGCATAATTGCTGCACATGGTGTCTCTCCTGGCGAGTGCCTGGTCTGGCTCCGCCGCCGCACCCCAGTGGCCCGCCCGGGGAAGACCTTGTGGGGTGTATTTATATATGCCCTGGTATGGGGTGTGTGTTGTGTTGGTCTTTTGTGATGCCTGGCGCTTGTCACAGTTGGGAACCGAAGCCCATTTTTCTCTGGTCTTTTCTCTGCAGCCCCCACTGGCCTGGTTTGAAACTGGATTCTCTCTGTTTTCTGCCCCCCCCATCCCCCTTGCGCCCCACTCTTCTCATAATGTTTTGATCCCATTGCCCTTTACCATTTCTAATAAAGATAAAGCGTGGCTTCGTGTGTGTGTGTGTGTGTGTGTGTTTCCCCCACGACCAGCCAGAAATGTCCAATTCATCTTCCCTTAAGGAAATTAAGGCCGCTTTAGAAAGACATCATCCTGTGCTCGGTGGCTGTTACACCTATTTGCATGTTTTCAAGATTCATCGTTTTGTATTGTGTTTTCTTGAGTTTACTCAGATATTTTTATTTAAAAGTACAAAAGGAAGTGTTAGGACTTATCCCCAAATTATCTCGCAGTTCAGAAAGATTTTAAGCTCCTCAGTTTTTAATCCCTGATCCTTCAAAAAGTGTGTTTCTGAATATGTGATAATTCAGTCTGGACCTTGGGAATCTAAATATTTGTCTTTACTCAGACGTTTGGATACTCCCTGGCTCTTTGGAGTTTCATATGTGGGCCGATGCAGAAGATGAAGGTTTTCATATAATGTCATATCTCATCCTTTCTCCCCTAGGACACAGAACCCTTTCCCTAAATCCGGTATTTCACTGTTATTTCCCGCATAAATATCTTTACACTTAAAAGATGGGTATTGCTGGATGTTGTGTATATAAGTTATTTTGTTTTACATTTCAGAAAAGATTAGAAACGTAAGAAGACAGCAAGATAGAGATCACAAAATCAAACGTTTTCCTGTTATAAAAGCCCAAATGAACACTTGTTTTTGCAGTTTTATACTAAGGCTTATCTGTGAAGTAATCTGGATTTATGGAGTGACTATATTTGCTTTTATGTCATCAGTAATATTTATAGCCAGGCCATTTCATTTTTATGGAACATGTGAGTTTCATTCATTATGTGTTGCTAATTTCCAGGACTGTAATTACAACATAGAGTACGTAGCTAATACAACTTAGACAATTCTTGTTGAAGGAACAGTATTTGAACTCATACCTTACTATTTTATGTTTAGAAACCAGGTTTTACTTTGAGTATGAAGTAAAAATATTAATTTATGTATCTCAGTATCTTCGAAACTATTATTGGAGAGTAGCTCTGTGTTTATAACCCTGAGATTTAAGTTTATCTTCCCTCAATATTAGATAATTACTGTTTAGGAATTAATTTTAAAATGCTAATTTAGAAGATAATGTTTAAAGAGTTTTAATTCAAGAATTTTTATTCGTTTATACTTTAGAGAAGACACCAATTTTTTACTTACAACTAATTAAAATGATTTATAGACTACTTTTCTTCATAAAAATTAGTTGCTCCATAGTGGTACAATCTTTTTTTTTTTTCATTTTTTTTTTTCTGTAATTGGGCATTCAAAAAACAAAACCAGCAGAAATTCCCTTATTTTTGATATTTGAAAAAAATATATATTAAAACTTTATTTCTAAAAGTTTCTATCTATAGCGGTTATCAATGGCCTCAGATGAATTTATATCATTTGTAGGTAAAGATTTGGATGAGATAAGGTATGTTAGGTTAAAAGTGGAAATACGTTTTTCTTTATTGTGAAACCATAGAAATTATGCTTCCATGTGAAGATTTTTAATAGTATTTTTAGTAGTTCTGTAGTGAGACTAATTTTTACTTTATTCTTCCTCTGATGTTCTGGAGTAGTTTATGAAATTGGGTTTCAAATTATGGCTCAGATTACATCATTGAGTAGTCTCTTTAAGTAATTATATAATCATGGCATTATTAGATTGTATGAGTATGTAAATGCATATTTATAATATTGAGAAGAATGTGTGACTTTATAACTAATGTGATACACAGCTGAAACTCTAGGCATAGTTTATTAAATCATCGTTTATTAAACTGAAGCTGCAACCTGAGTATAAGAGAACTTTATTTCATTTGAGCTCCTATATTTGTCATGTAATGGATTGCTTCTTGTTTAAGATGTATAAAATGATATCTCACTCATTTCACATTTCTTAAAATATTGCTGGCAGCTTTGCTATATCTGAGCGCCTTTCCTTGAGAATTGTTCTCTTATTCTCATGCACATCTGCTCTAACACGCTGTTAGGTACATACCTACGTGGTTTTAAACCTCCGATATATTTTAACTGAGAGGAGTAAGCTGAAAAAAAAAATGTTGAATCTACGAATGAGAATTTAAAGCGAAATAAAAATGAAAAAAAAATGCAAGAAATATGTTAGGACTTTTAGAGCTAAATGTGAAACATACTGATATAAAATTTCAGTATTCTATTAAGTGACTTTAGTGCTCATAAAAGATGTCACAGCTGTGGAGACTGATGCTTTCCATTTACAGAATAGGTAGAAAAGTATTCAGATTTCCCGTCAGTGTGTTTCAGAGCTGTTTGGGGGGACCTATTTTTGTTTGGCATGGGGGAAGGGAGCTGTAGGGGTTGAGAGGGTGGTAGTGTGTGTGGTGTCTCAGTGAAGGCATTGAGTATTTGCAGTTGACTCTTCACCTCTCTGTGCTTCCTGATTCTTCCATTCCTTTGCAGTGCTTTTTGATTTGTCTTACCATAAAAATTTCAATCCACTAAAGGTCTGTATTACAAAATAGCTTTGGCTTAGAGCAAGCTATGAGTTAAATCTTTGGCGATGATGATTTTTATCACTGTCAACTAGCTATCCATTTGGACTGAATTATAAAAAAACTGCTTTCATTGAGGTGTCTTCATTTGAGCTATTATTTCTTATTCTTGGTCATATCAAAAACAGTTTTCTTTCAAGTACTAATTTGATTAAGAGTAATCAAAAGTATCCTTTTCAAAAGGAATTTGTTCAATTTATCTATGATTTTTAAAGGTATATTTTGTGTTGTTAATGGTACTTCTTAAACACTGGTAGTTTTGTTTTTTAAAGGAGTGTCTGAAAAGGTAACTAGAGAGTGCTCAAAGTGATTGTTAGGTGACAGTACTATGGTGAGCACAAGGCCCTTCAGAGTCTGGGCATCGATTTTGTCCATTCAGTTCTGGATTTGTGAGAACACTCTAAGCTAATTGGATCATAAGGGATGTATTCATAATAACCAAACTCAGAAATTGATTATGATGGAATGACAGTTGAGAGGGGATATCCCTTTTCACTTACTGGAATTTTTTGTGTCTGTTATCTAGGTTATAACAGCTACTGAGATATCAAGGTATTGAGGAAATTGAGTTGGTAATCAGAGCTGCTTGGGGACCATGAACTCAGAGAAAAGGGAATTTGAAAGCCTTGAGGGATATTTCACCCAGACTATGAAAAAAAAAAAAAAAAGAATTCTTCAGTGTGTTAATACAGTCTGTATCTCTTGTGAAACATGGCTGTTTAGTATATAGTTGGATCAATGTGCACACCATCATATGGTTCAGTTTTTATTTAGAATCATGCAGGCCTCTATATGTTCTTCTGTTATCACAAAGGCTACTTAAATCAATTTACTAGTTTAGGGGATTTTAACCTTAGCCCAGCCATGAGGATGTATTGATTGGATATAGATGTGGAAATGTCGCCCCATTTCTCTGTTCCTGTTGTTATTTGTACTAACCTCTGGCATTTAGCGAGCTGACTTAACATTTTCATCACCCCGAAAGGAAACTTTATACCCATTAGCCATCACTCCTCCCTCTCCCCTCACTCCTAGTCCCTGGCAACCACTTCTCAGCTTTTATGTCTCTATGGATTTGCTTATTCTGGACATTTCATATAAGTGGAATCATATAGTTTGTGGTCCTTTGTGACTGGCATCTTTCATTTAGCATGGTGATTCAAGGTTCATCTGTGTTGTAGCATGTAGATACTGTGCTTTCTTTTTTATGGCTGAATAATAGTCCATTATGTAGATTTACCATGTTTTGTGTATTCATTCATATGTTAGTGGACATTTGAGTTGTTTCCACTTTTTGCCTATTATGAATAATGTTGCTCAGTATAAACATTTCCTGTATACGTTTTGGATGTTTTCATTTCTTAATACATTTTAAATGGGTGAAAGGAAAGTTTTGGCCAACTTATCCATTTTATATTGAGTTTTACTTTTTCTTCTTTGAGGCTCACTTTCTGTCTTTTCTGGAGGTACCTTATTGTAGTCCTGTCCACAGCTGAATAAATTATTTTTGATTCTTTAATGCAGGATCTAAAATGTCCACTGAGGCACAAAGAGTTGATGACAGTCCAAGCACTAGTGGAGGAAGTTCTGATGGAGACCAACGTGAAAGTGTTCAGCAAGAACCAGAAAGAGAGCAAGTTCAGCCCAAGAAAAAGGAGGGGAAAATATCCAGCAAAACAGCTGCTAAATTGTCCACTAGTGCTAAAAGGTACCTCAGCTCTTATATATAACCTTTTCGTTTTTAGTATCAATTTATTGCTTAAATTCTGTTTTTCTGTTGCATTTAATTTTTTTTCTGAGATATGGGCCATGAAGTTCATGGAGTTTTCTTTCCCCTTCAAAATGATTTCTTTTACATGGTTTTAATTGTAGGCAACTTTTTGCTAAAGTCAGTTAAATGGCATGACAGATTCATAAAATACATATAAACAGTGTTTGTTTACTGTTAGGAGAGCATATACAGGACATACATGTGAAAGTACAATGGTTTGATTTATGGTTACTCGATCATAAATATTTTTTTCTGTTCAGTAACACAGAATAGAGACTAGTAGGAACCTATTGAAATAGTTATTGAATGATAGTTTATTTTCTACTACGCCATGTTGGTTAAGTCAGAAATGCTGGAGGTTGCAACAAATGCATATTGGTTTCATTACATTATGCAGTGGACAGTCTTGATACAGAATTTGTCTTTCTATAGAGAATAGATATATCTAGAAAGTAGATATTTGAAAGATTCTCTATTGTTACATCAGTCTTTTATGATGATTGGCATTTTAAATGGTCATTGAACTTGAAATCTGCTTTGATACTGTTACATTATAGAGTATCTCTTGGAAAATAATTTGAAAGGTAAATTTAGTTGAGTCTTTCCTGATCCTGTGATTTTATGTTCTTGCTTTGTTTTAATATCTTTTTAATGTCAAATAGGAAATGTAAGTAAAAACAGTCTGTAACTTTTAGGCATGGTGGAATGTCTGAATGTTGAATGATAGCTTTACATATTATTGGATGATGTGCGTTAGGGGAGACTCCTCTCCCAAATATCAAAAACCATTATAGACTAGTAGACCTTGTTTCCCTCTGACTTAGTCAATTCATAGCGTTGGAAAGAACCTTCTCTCAGGCCCCTTGGTGAGAGGTGTTGCAGTGAGGGTGAGTGTAAGCATCCCATTCCAAGGGACTAGAGTATTCGATTTCTTCTTCCCAGGGATGTGTTGCTAATCGCTGAACTCTGTTGAAGGAGTTGTGTGAAAGTTAGATAGCCCTGAACTTTAAACCTTTGAGCCTCTATACTACAACATGCTAGAATGTGGGGGAAAGAGTTCAGTTTGTTTTTTGCTGTCATACCTTAAGTCCAAGAAGACTCAGCTGGCTGGCTCTTCTGCTACCTGGCCATAACATAAAATGATCTGCTGCTGGGAAATGGGGGGTGAGGTTAGGATGGATAAGAAAATGGGGAATGGAGAAAATGTGATATATAGGTGAAAGAAAGGAGGTTGTGGGTGGGTGGTAAGAGATGTTCAAGTACAGATTATAGCTCTATGTAGGTGAGGATATTTCAATTCAGTCCTCAGCTTCAGATAGCGAGGATTTTTACAGGACCTCTTTAGATCGTCAGAAAAGGGGAACAGTGGGCTGGCCAAGTCTGTTGGGGAATAGGGTTCAGCTTGGCCTGTGCTCTGCTCTCCTATGACTGCTAGTTAGCAAAGACTTCTGCCCACCTTGATGAGGCCATGCCTTTTTCCCTAGCTGGGAGTACCACTACAAAATACCTCAAAATCATGTTTCTTGGATGATATATCATTGCTTTTTTTTTTGGTGGTTGGTATGGGGATCTAAACCTGTGACCTTGGGGTTATAAGGCTGCTCTTTAACCAACTGATCTAACTGGCTAGCCTGATTGAGTGATATATAAAAGACCAAATTCTGCTTATGAAAGAGGGTGCACTGCTTAATGTGTGAATGTGAATTTTTCAAGTACACGGGTCATCTTTTACTTCATTTTATTACAGTGTATATAGAAAGTAGAGCTTATGTATTCAAACCTAATGAGAGATTTCGTGAGGTGAAAATATAGAAAGAAGATATTTTCCTCCTCTTTAAATAGGGGGTAAAACCTAATTTAGAGATGTTGAGTGTGAAAGGTCCAGGACACAGCCTTATTGGAACTAAATAGAAAATAGTATTATTGCATTGGGGAAAGTAAGAAGTATCTTGAGTTGCTTCCTGGCCAAAAGAGTCCCTCCATTGGCAAATTCATTCTTGTGAATCTGTGATTTTCAAATTGTGATTTATGAGCTTCCTCTAGAAGATCTTCAGGTGGTTTATGGGTGACAGTGTATGAAGTGACTTAGTCATGTACTGTTTATTTTAAATACAAAAATGCTGCTTCACTGCTAATTTTTTGTTTTAAAAAAAGCTTATTCTTCCCCCTGTCTCCCTTCCCCAGTTCAGTTGATAGTGAAGTTGTTTTTTGGTCATCTCTGCTTAAGTTCTATGAACTTAGAAAAAACTGGGGACTCATGAGTACAGGGGACCCACATCTTTTAAATTCACCATTATATCCACAGTGTCTAGCATAGTAGGGTCACAACATTTATTTACTGATTGCTTTAGAACCCTAAGCTTATCGCAGGGAGCGGATTTTCCATGGATATTAGGATCCCAGTATCAGTGTGTTCAGAAGATCCCAAGTTAGAGGTAGTTCCAAAATAGAATTTTAATTTATATATTTTTATTAATAATCGATTTTTATTCATATGAGAAGTCTTTCGCAAATAGTGCCATTTTATGAGATAGTCAGTAGCAGTGAAGAGTTTGAACTCTTGAGATAGAATCTGGGTTTGAATCTAGGTTCTAGCAGTTAGTAGCTCTGTGATCTTGGATACATAATTTAAGGTCTCTAAGCCTTAGTTTTCTCTTTGGTAAAATGATAATAATAAAACATAAAATAATAGTAATAAAACAGCCTCTTCACAGACTGTTGTGAGGACTAAATGTGATAAGACATTTATTTGGCACATAGTAAGCTCTCATAAACTGAAGCTGTCAGTTATAGATTTTGGGCCAGTTAAAGTCTATGATGATATTTTTCAAGTTCATTTGGTATAGACTTTGGGAAAATAAGGTATATGTTAACCTCAGAGGACTTAGTGCTGTTGTTAATGCTGTTGTTAAATTAGGAAAAACTCAGATGGTATAATTAAATTCATTTTATAGTAACTCAGGAAAACTGCTTTGCACATAGGTGCTCAGTTATATGAAATGTGCTAAAATTGTAGAATTAACAATTGCTATAATTATAGAATTAATAATTTGGTCTAGAAACGTTTTCTTAAAAAATCTCATTATTGAGGTATTACAGAATAGTGATGTATGATATGGAAGATATTTAAGTGGATATTTAAACAATGGTATAAATTAATTTCTCCCTTTTTTAGAGTTAGGAGGAAAGATTATAAGTGCGTTTTTCATGCAGTTTTGCTTTTCTTTGGCAAGAATTTGTTTGTTCCTATGGCCTGTTCTCTTTATATGTCTGTAGTATTTAAGTGGATATTTAAACAATGGTATAAATTAATTTCTCCCTTTTTTAGAGTTAGGAGGAAAGATTATAATTGCGTTTTTCATGCATTTTTGCTTTTCTTTGGCAAGAATTTGTTTGTTCCTATGGCCTGTTCTCTTTATATGTCTGTATCACTCTTGTTATATTTGCAAGTACGTAGTTAAACCATGTCCGTGGTGACAAATTTAGATGATTTAGATTAAATTGACTAGTCAGTTCAATAAGACATCTATTTTGAGATCTTCATTGAATTGGCTCTGCTGCCGCTTTCACATGTATGACACATCTGTAAACGTGAATTTTAAATCACATTTATTCCAAGTTAACTTTGTTCAAAATAGACATTGTGATTTTATTGGATACTCAATATAGTATTGTTCTAGGAATAGTATTTGATTGCAGATTCTAAATTTTTATCAGGTTGAAAGGTTGATTCTAGTGTATTCCAGTGTGAATTCTTATCATATAGGCTCATCTAAGTTTGTTTCCACATGAGAATCAAGTAGTACTGTTTATAGATAATCTTTTGTACTTACTGTATTTTTTTGATTCTAAATTATATTTTAAAACTTTTTTAATGTTTCTGAAATCAGGATGCATCTTACAGTTGTTACAATTATGTAATTGATGGTGTGTCTTAGAATCACAGATACATAACATATATCATTGTTCAGAATTAAACTCTAGGCTTATTATTTGCCATGGGACTATGTTTCCTAGAGACTGTTTTGACATTTAAAAGAAATTAATAATTAGTTGCATGATGTTTTCTTGAGAATAAGTTCATTTTGGAATGTTTTGGCCAGTTGATTCAATTGGTTAGAATAGATTCAATTCAATTGGTTCTTAGGCAACTGAGGAGTGCAGTCCATAGGGGAATATAGAAAGTAATCTAGATGGGATGAAGGGTTTTTTAAAAAAAAACTGCTAAGAAATCACGTTTGTGAATCTCCATGTCCACATAGTCACGGTCTACTTGGCTCTGAGTTATTGAATTTTCTTTAATCCAAGATACGTGTTTGTTTTAAACATGTTAGTTCATATACGCTGCTTCATTTTTCTGAACCATTAATCCAATATGTTGATGTTAAAATGAGTGCTTCATATCTTCTTCATTCTGTATAATTTTGGTATCTTATTCTTCAGTTTAGTCTGAATGAATCATGATCCCTCCCCTCTTTTTTTTAGCGGATGACAGTCCTACATTCATTCCTGGACAGTTAAGGTATTAGGTAAAGTTAAACTAAAATTTAGTTTATATTTTTTGTTCCTGACTTGTCTCAGTTACTATGTGCAGTTGCTGACTTCTTTGTCATAATAACCTAAGAAGTAGCATGGCCTGTTGGACATTGGAAGTTTAGGCTATTGTCTAGTTGATTTTTGTCTAAAATACTTCTGTCTTAGAAGTTCTGATAAGGGACAGATCTTTTTGTTTGTTTCACTTAGCAAGATAATTGCCTCAGTCTTTCACCTTACCAGTGGAAAATAACTAGCCTTAGTTTCCTTATCTTTCAAATGGGGACCGATAAGAGAGTAATACTTAGAGTATTCTGTGAGATTTATTTAATTCACTTTTAGTGGTCTAAGATCATCATGTGAAAGGTACACCCTAAGTGTGAATTATTGATATGTTTTCATTTTTCCTCACCCTGAGGGACAGTGTCTGAAATAGCTACCTTCCTTATCCCATGTGTCAAGACTGAGAAACTTAATACATACCATGATCACAACTTTTGAGATAGAATTGAATTGCTGTCATTGAAAACAACAGGACATCTTACAACCGTTTAAATAGCAATTCTTAGTGTAATTTTTTTCTGTCAAGAGAAATACAACCATTCTTAGGTAACAGGTAACTCAAAATATATTGATTCACTGCTCAGAGTTGTCAGATTTATAAGTAAATTACTTTTTGTGTTGAATAATATAGATTTGGAATTACAGACATCTGGAGGGGTTCAAGTGCCATTATAGAATTCTATGACAGAAATTTATGATTTATTAATTGTTTTACCATTATAGAATTCTATGAGAGAAAATTGTGATTTATTAATTTTTTTAAACCAAAAGGGCAGTATAATCATAAAGCAGGATGAGTTATTTGAAAATCCCAAAGTTCTTTTGTTAAAAAATAGTTTAAGCATGCTCTTTTGAATGCCTATTCTATTGATTTTTCTCAGTTTAAAAACAATTATAAAAAAGTTACTCATGTTTCTGGTAACAAACAGTATAGAGATTTCTTTTTAATATAAAGCAACAGTTTTTTGTTCACACCCCCAACATTCCCAGTTATATTCCCTTGAAGCAAACTCTTCTAGCGGTCTTTAGTTTTAGTCCTTCTACATAACTCTATTTTTTTTTTTTTTTGTCCTTTTTGAGACCAGCCGCACCGCGCTCAGCCAGTGAGCGCTGTGAGCGCACCGGTCATCCCTATATAGGATCAGTCATCCCTATATAGGATCCGAACCCGCAGCGGGAATGCTCCTGCACTCCCAGCGCCGCACTCTCCCGAGTGCACCACGGGCTCGGCCCTTCTACATAACTCTAAATAATAGATTTATTTCTTACTTTTTGAATCGTTAACTAAAATAGTATCTTTCGACTCCCTGCTCTGAAAAAGTGAGAATTTAGTTTGTTTGCCTATATTTTTCTTCCTTTTCCCTCCTCTCGATTAATGATAGTTACATTTATAAAAAAAAAGATTATTGGTTGTCTTTATACTCTACAGAATATTTTTAAGCTTCTGTTTCTTGTTCCTTCAAATTTCGGTATTATTATTATTATTATTATTTTTTTTCTCGTGTCCGGCAATGGATCGCAACCCTCAGTGTCGCGCCCGTACCGGACCGGGACCGGCAACGGGATCGCAACCCTAGGTGCTGGGTCCGCCCCTCACTCAGCCAGTGAGTGGGAACCGGTCTG